GGCGCCAACTACACGGTCAAGTACCAGCTCGGCACCGACGGCACGGCGCTCGCCATCAAGTACGGCATGGCAGCGCGCAACTATGGCAAGACGGGTTTCAACGCAACGCTCACGGGTATCGACGACGGCACGCCCGAGCTCAAGTGCATCTCGATCGCCAGCGACGTCATGGTGGACGGCAAGCCGGTGACGCTGTCTGCGACCGACTTGGCGACGGCGTCGAGCATGCCCATGACCATGACACCGACAAAGACGAGCGGCATGGAAGCCGTACATGGGCAGGTCGTATCGCTGCTTGGCGCGGTATTTGGTCTGTGCTTGCTTCAGTAGGAATTGTCGTAAACGATCATCACGCTTGCATACATTGAACACATCCTGGATACAGTAATATACTAGGGCTTTCATTTTAGAAACCCATACAAGCAACTAGCGTGGACCTTGTGGGCTCATCGAGATGGCCGAAAAAGAGTGCAGAGATCACTCTGCACGTGCCTTGGAGCGTGTACATGTACTGTACCGAGTGGTGTGGCAACTGCAATGTATCTTCGTACTGACAACGCATCTTTGTTTACTGACAACTCGACCGAAATTCAAATGATCTGAATTCTTACAATCCGTTGCAATACATCGCCATGGTGCCATCGGTTTCTAATACTACTTACTTTATACCTTTGCGAGTTATGTCGTTGCTGCGTTTCTTTCGACCCCCGCTCGCCAGTGTCCCTCGGCCGGTCGCCACGGCCGCCACCACCATCACAGTGTTCCCATCACTGGTTTTTCCCGCGACAACACACCTCACCGCGCAAGGCCAGCGCCGATTCTGGCCGCCGGGCGACTACATTATCTCCCGCACAAACGATGACGGGCGGCCGGTGGCCACGATCCACGCCCAGGACCGCTTCGTCTCGACGCTGGTCGATACCGACAAGATAGCCGTCGCATTGATCCAGCGACTAAGTGTCTTCTCCAAGGACTACTGGGTCTATGCTATCGAAAAAGGCACCCCGACACCATTGATGACGATCGAGTACCGCAAAGCGAACCACCTTCGTGAGTGTCAAGTGCTCAACACGGCCACGGGCGCCACGCACCACCTCGTGCTACAGGAGCTACCAGAAGCGAATGGCTGGAGCATCCTTACCGACAGCCATGACGGCCCCGTTCTCGCCAGAATCCGAGAACACCTTCCAACAAGCCTCTTGCGATCCAATTGCTCGTACGAGATGCAAGTGCCCAACGGCGTCGACGTCACGCTCATGTGCATGGGAATGGACGAAGCGCGCATGCGAGCGGTCATGTCGGTACACTTGACGTGGGGGCTCGTTGCCTTTAGCTATGCGCTGCACCTATTCGATGCTTGACGATACCATAATGACATCCTCATGAACTTAAAGTCACATTTGTCGATTCCATTCGTGTGCTCGTGTAGCACCGTAGAATGAGCGCCAACTGCGCGCACCTGGGGCGCCATAGAGGGCACCGAGCGCGCTGGGTTCTTTTCTTGACCATAAAGTCATACCAATAACCTTTTGTGCAACTTTTCTAATGGCGACGAGCTCCACGCTTTCGACGTCCCGTACGTACTGACGTGAAGACTTGAAAAACTGGAGTGGGTTGGAGCACCATCATTCCGGTACTAGAATGACGGTGGATTGTCACGAGACCCCCATTCACTCGCTTCCGATTGGTGCACGGATGTGTGACGACTGGCCATTTTCAATTTGGCCCATCGAGATCATGTCGCTCATGCGTTTCTTCCAGTCCAAGCAATCCTTTGACGCGCTCCAACTCGCGAAGTCGGTCCGATGCAGCGTTTTCAAGTCGTTTCCAACGACCGAGCCAACGCGCCTCGTGATGCAAGGTCAGCGCTGGTCGTGGCCGGGCCGCGACTACACCGTGACCAACTCAAATGGAATATTGGTCGCAGAGATTCAAGTCCAGCGATTCTCATTTCCCAACCAGCGGACACTCCTCGACGCGGCGCGCCGCCCCGTCGCGCTCATAAAGCTCGACCCGTACTCGTTTTTTAACGAGCAAATGGTCTACGAAAACTCGGACGACGACGTGCCATTGCTTACGATCAAGTATCGCAAACATGCGTCGTTTCACCAACAAGAGTGCGAGGTGCGCAACCAAGAGACGGGCAAGACCCACCTCCTCGTGCTCCAGCCCGCAAACGTTCTCACGCGCCGCAGCGTCCTCACCGACGGCGACGACGGGCCGATTCTCGCCAAGGTCCACCAACCGTTCACGTGCCAGTTCGCGAACCGGTATGAAATGGACGTCGCGGCCGGTGTCGACGCAGGCGTCGTCACGTTGATGTGTGCGGCCATGGACGAAGAGACGCGCAAACGAGTGGATTGGGTCTCCTGCGGCTTCCTCGGCGTCCTTGGCGCCTCGTTTATGGGACTCACTCTCCTGACCATGGTGTAAACAAGCTACTATCAATACAAAATTTGTATTGATAGTCTACATACATGTTGCCATTTAATGACAACATGTATGTAGAAGGGTGTGTACTAAATGATAAATATACCCTTGGTATATTCTAGGAAGAGAATCAAAACTAATCCCTAGTTGCGGCGGTGGCGCTCGTCTTCGTCCATGGCGATGCACACCAACGTTACAAGTGCAATGTCGACGCCTGGCGCGACGTCCACAAAATACCGCGCGCCACCAAGCTCGAGCGGTTGGCGCAGCTTGGCGATGACAACGCCGTTGTCGATCGAGATGATGGCGCGGCGCGACGTCCAGTCGCCCTTGCAACGCAGCTCATGCACGCGACCTGTCGAGAGATTTCGCACGCTGCACTCAAGCTCGGGAAACCCCATCTTGAGACGCGTCTTGATGGCGAGGAGCTCATGGTCGGTCGCCTCGCTCGAGAAGACGCGCTGCGTGAGCATGAACGAGAAGAGGTCTTCCTTGGTCACAGCGATTACGTTGCCGCGGTTGTCGCGCAGGATTTTGCGCTCGCGGAGCGAGAAGGCCTTGGCATCGATGCGGAAGTAGACGTCGCCAGTGTCAGCGTCGCGGATGAGAAAGTCCTGCCCCGACCACGTCCAGATCTGGCCCTTCATGTCCAGCGTCACGACGCGGGGGGCTGTGAATTTGCGGTCAATCGCGACAAAGTTGGACTGCGGAACGAGCTGTACCGCTCTGTACTCTGCAGACGACATGCTCGCGCCCATGATGATCCCGACTGTTGTTTGCGAGAGGTGAAAGTGAAAATGAACCTCAAACGACGTGCCGTCGGCGGTGGACATGGTACTCGTGGGACATGTGTGTCCACGAAGTCTTTGATTTCGATTATCATACATTTCCAAGAGCATTGGACACGTTTTTTTAAATCGCGTGTAGACACTGAAATCCACTGCGTTGGTCACTGCCACTGGATCACTGCGGCTGACTACCAAGTGGTACTGGTACCAGATTTCAGCTCGTGGATAGAATATCCAATGGAAACAATCCAATGTGCCCATGAGTTTAGTCAAGAAGGGAGCTTCTTGGTAGGTTTCGCCACCTATCATGGCCCCTCACTGCCCCACTCTTTGTCACTCGGCGTGTGGGTTTTGCACGCGTCACCTCAAGGGAGTAGCCCTTGGTGATGACGTTTTCCCCACACACACCAGACCAGCGAGAGCCGACTCGCACACCCACATCTAACCGGTTAGCTCAACCGGTTAGCTCAGCACCGGTACTCAGCCGGCTAACCTAACCGTTTAGCCGAGCTTGTCCCGTTTGGTCAGCAGCAGGCCTGCTACCACCCGATAGCCTCTGCTGTCACTCGATGGCCCTCGCTGCCATCCGACAGCGTTTGCGCCATCAGCCGAGCCCCCAAATCGATGCGAGCCACCAATATCGGCTCCTCAGCTCCGCTAATAAACACCGAGTCTGGTCAGCTCACTTCCTCTTTTGGCCTTCCAACCTCAAGTGCTTTTCTCGTGTGTTCTTTCCATCTCAACTAGTTTAATGTGTATTAGTACCTCGCTCGCAAGCGCCGATGGTCGCCGAGAAGCGCCGCTGCAGAGACGTGGCCGGTTCAAGTCCGCTGTATGTACGTGGCTACCTCGGCGAGGTCGTCGCGGCGCTGCGGCGGACGCGGACGGGTGTCAACCCGACGGTCGTGACCGCGCTCAATGCACTCGGTTTTCAGTGGACTTTGGTTTGCTATGACACAGTCGACGTGGCCATGCAACTCGTCGTCGCATCGTTCCCGACGCACCCGCCGACGTCTTGTGTCGTGCCGGCGCAAGCGCGATGGCCGCGCGACCTCTGGGGCACCGACGTGCTGCGACTGAGCGCGCGCCGTGACGCGCGGCTCGTCACGATGGCGTCTGCGTACGACGCGTCGCTGCTCTCGGAGTCGACACGTGCCGTGTCAACGGAAAAACGCGTCGACCAAGCGCAGCTCGTGCTAGCGTCGATCACGATCTACGTCGCACTGCACGGTCCGACGTCGGTGCCGCTGCTTTTCCACGTTCCGTCGTGCGACGACATGTGGCCTATGGACGCAGCGTTGAAGCCACTGGGCTTTCTCGTGTGGGCCATGCGCGACTGATGGCTCCTTCGGGACTCTGCCGCGCGCTCCAGCGTTGGGTCTCTCGCCCGTGAGTTTTGATGTGGACGGCGATTCAAGCGACGTTGATAAGAGTGTCATGGCCAACGACAGCGACAACCCGAATAAGGTCGACGTGTGCAACGATTCGGGACCACGGTGCAGATCGCACTCATATCTACACCCACGATGGGCCGCCACGGGTCCTATCCATCAACGCATGGATAGAAGGGTGGGCCGGGCCTCTTGCGCGCTGCCGCCAGTGCTGGACGACGGCTTTGACTGGGAGCGCGTCTTCGAAGCGTTGGCTGCGTACGTTGCCAAGCACAAGCATTTGCACGTCCCTCCCTGTATGTCACCAGCGACAAGGTACCGCTGGGCGCCCTCTTGGCCACATTCGACGAGGCCACGTGCTGCTTCGAGACGAGGGACTTGTTGCGCTCGAAAAGCTCGAGTTTTCTTCAATTTAATAAGTCTATATATCGAATGCATCACTTGAATCGCGTACGATTCCCGAGGTTTCTTGTCGACACGCTGCAACTTAATCGCACGCGCGACGGTTGGAACGGTCGCGAGCCCCTCCGAGATACACCACCCATGTCGCTCGAACGCCGCACGCGCCAGCACACTGAGCACACTGAGATGAGCTCAAGTGCCGCCTATGTGCGGCCCTTCGTCTCGCATCAGACCCAGATTGCCGATCGCGACCACTCGTGAAGGTTGCAGACTTGCTGACGATGGTAGCATGTGCTGAGTCACCTTCGTGGCCTGCCAAGTTGCAACGAGAACGAGGCAAGATCTTGGGTGCCGACTTGATACACTGATACGATACCGCGGGCAGGCGCGCGCACGTCAAGTTCGAAACAACGCAACCGGATTGGTCGACGCAAGATCCAGCATTTGTCGAACAGTCACTTTTCGGCGACGATGGCCGACGAGGTTGCTGCACCGTCGCCGCCATCGACGCCGCTGCCCATGGGCACCTTCACCATAGCGCTCGGCCAACTTGTGCTGCCACCAGCACTCGACGCGCCACCCGCCGAGAGTGACGCGCCGCCTCTGTCCTTCTGGTGCGAGGTGAGCGTGCGCATGGGCAAGGACCTCAACACGACGTGGTGGTACCCGTCCAGTGACGAGCACAAGCGCAAGGTCGCGACCGACGTGCTGCAGCTTTCGCCCGCATCGGACGATAGCGAGCCACCTTCGTTCGGCTTTGTGCAGGCGTCGCCTCCGTTCGTGCTCAGCGACGACAGCCTGATCCCGCAGCTCGCCAAGGCGAGCGTGCACCTCGAGCTCTACAGCGGCTACACGCGCGAGCGAGAGACCGATGTACTTCTCGGCGCGGCCTCGTGGGCCTTCTTGCCGAGTCTGTTTCTTGGCGGCCCGTCGACGACGCGGCTGGCCTTTCCCACTGCACTCGTCGAGTGCACGCTGGCCTTTGATATGGGCTTTGTCTCGCACTTCCAGCACATGAAGGTACTCGCCGTTGAGTCCGTGCAGGTGCATCGACTCCCGACCGAGTGGCGGCCGATCCTCAAGGACGGTGACGACGCGCAAAAGCTCTGCGACGAGAATACCACCAAGTGCTCGTTGGCTCTGAAGCTGCCCGTTGCGCTCTCGTCGGCGATGCCCGAGACGACGTTTACGCTGGACGGCCGCCTCAGCTACGACGCGACGGCGACCGACCCGGATGCCGCCTGGCTCGTTCGCTTCCCGCTCGAGAGCCCTCTCATCCTGCCGCTCGACAAGGTATCTCGCGGCCTAATGCGATATATCGATGCGATTACTGTCGTTTAGGAAGGCACGGACGCGCTGGTCGATGCGATCGAGTCGGGTAGACTTGTCACAATGAGTCTCACGCGGACGCTTGGCACCGACGTATGGCAGGCGACCGCACAGCTCGCAATGGACGGTTTTCTGACGCCGGGTACTTTGAACATCACGCTCCGCGAGCCACTGCGCAAAGGTCGTCTATCGCTTGTATGACAATCATGTCGTTACACTAGCACACTAGGCACTGCACCGGCGCGGGAAACCCTCGAAGAAGCGCTGACCAAAGCTGCTAACAACGAGGAGAAGAAGAAGGCACAGGCGGCGCTCAACGATTACGAAAACCTCTTGACGCGCATCGCAGGTTCCCCGCACACGTCGTAGTTGTCTGCGGAATCGACTCAAACGACTAGGCCATGCGGCGATCTATGTCAGCGCCGGGTCGGCGGCGTCGCTCGAGGCGACCGTTTACCCGCAGGCCCTCGTGCCACTACCGCCGGTGCCGCTACCACCGACCAAGTCCATGGCCGAGTACATTCCTCCGCGGCCGCCGCTGCCGGCATATCAATCCCACGAAGCGACCGCGACGATGCGCAAGGAAGTGCGCAAGATCTTGGCCATTCTCATGAAGGAGTACGACGGTCTCTTCGCCTTGCCCGATGACGTACGCTAGCTGCACGCTTAGTCAGTACACGATTTGTCTCTCTAGTCGGACGAGTATACGCTCTCCAAGGAAGACCGGCGCCATAAATTGCTCTTCCATCTCAACGCCAACGGCATTACTTTGAGTTTAAAGAAAAACTCAAAAAGGACGCTCGTGCTCGTCATCCG